GTCTACCACCTTTGCATGGGAAAATCCAGTTGTTCTACAGATCTATTAGCAGTGCGGGCCTATCCAGTTAGTGAGATTGTGGGGTTTTTGCTGCATTTACACTGCCTTTTCCCTTTAATCCATGTCCCTTTGTGCTTGCTTACCTAATGCAACTTCCCTCTAGGCTGTGATTATATGAGCTGGAACATGTGCACGGTCTGGTTTGCCAACTGGCAGCCCACAAGCACCATACGGCTTGTGAAGATGATTTTGTCCAGCTTCCATGAGCAACTCTGCAGAGCTCTTTCCAGCCCTTCCTCTATTGAGGATGCTGGGGCTTGATGTCATTAACAGAAAAATGTTGGACCAAGAGATGGTAGCAGGAGGAGCTGCCACGAGAGAGCAGAAGATAGTCAGAAGGTGTGAATGCATTTCCATCCTTGCTGAAGTTGGCTACACCAGCAATGACTTTTGGATGAGCAGACTGTGAAGTTGTCCAAAGGGCCTCCTAGGAAGACGTGAAGAGCATAGGACTGTGTGCACACTATTGTTTTAGGCATGAGCCTTTCGAAGAGAACTCACTACAAATAGGGAGAAGATGCATAAAGCTAACGCTAAATATTAGAGTTCTAACAAGTCAGCAATAGAAAAAATGGACCCCTCTCTATTGACATGAGAACATAAAGTGATGTGTGCACACGATTATTTCAATGCTACAAGATCAAAGAACTGCCTTCTGCCAAAGAAATGGACAAAATCACAAAAAGCGGCTGTTATGTGTTTCACTAAATTTGATTTGCCCACAGAGTTTCAGAAGTTGCACACACTCTTCAGCTGAGTGGGATCACATTGAGGGAAACACCTGCCATGCTGCAAGTAAAAGACACTTGTCAAGAGTGGTTCTGAGCAGACAGAACTGTGACTTAATGATTCTCATTCATATATTTCTTCTCTCCACCCAGCAGCATCAACTACTTAGTTTTTTCTTATTTACAAATGCTCCCTCATCTGTTCTCTTCTATCTTTTTTGTCTTATCATCATTGTCTAATATATTAACTGCATTAAAAGTATGGAAAATAAGACATTACATTCAAATTTAATTTTTGAAATAATCATTCATGTATTTGAACACACACCAGACAAATCAGAATGTAATATATTGTCATGAATTGGAGACTTGCATTGAAAAAGGAGAAATAACAACAGGAAAAATAACCCACTGAGTTTCATAATTAGGAATAGATACCAATCCCTTAAGTTTGCGGCTACCTAGAAATTAAGGTTCCTGCTTCCCTCCCCAGATGTGCAGGGTGAAGTCTAAGAATATAAATTATTTCCCCAGCCACAGGGCTTCTCTACAGGATTTGACCTGCTGCTTCACTGAGACCTCTTTTTCCATATTTGTTGCAAGACTAAAAATGCATCCTTTATGCAGGGTGCTTCCCTGCATGGTTTGCATTTCTCAGCTTTTCTATATGGTGGCACTGTGGTCGAACTGCAGTACAGCAAACTTGCTGTACCTCATAAGGCCTTATCATTATTTAAAATTTAATACCAGACTTCCCTCTAAAAAAACCAGAACACCAAAAAGCAAAAAGAAAGTTCCATATACTTCATGCGTGCAGGATCACAAGCGTACAGTAACTGCCTTGTGTAGGGAAGTCCTTAGTAAGCCATGCTGGAGTACTGTATTTGCCAAGTTGCCTTACATCTCCATTTATCCAGCTCTGCTTCCCCTGCTATGATTAGCTCACAAAGTATTTGAGACTTAAAGTAATAGCCCTCTGATTAAGATATGAAAATATTTACTAAGTCTTGTATTGTGCAGTGTCTAATGAAAACCATCTGGAAAGCTTTTCCCTGGGGAACTAATGCACATAAAGGTTTACATGTCTAATCTATTTCTTTCGAAACATTTTACCTTCAGTAACTACTGGTAACTGGACAGTGATCTTGTTCAATTCAAGCAGAAGGCGCCTGAAAATATAATCAAACTCATAAAATGGTGAAATATTTCTGAATGTTAATACAATGACAAGGACAATTCATTTCTTTTGTTAGTGATTGGCAGCACTGTTGAAAGAAGTTTATTTGTCTGCCAATTACATCCACTCACTCTACTCCTTTGCTGTGTGTGGTTTTGTTTTAAACCCCATGTACCTCTAAAATCTAAGACAACAGATCTAGTCTGTGCAAGGCTGATCCAGAGGAGAGCAAATAAGCATCCAGCAGTCATGGTGGCTTTAAAAACAGTTTGGGAAAAGTTAAACATTTTAAAATTCCAATAAATATAGTGGAAATGATAAGCACTTGTTTACATCTCTTTCATTAAAACCAGTGGAATTTTAAAGTGTTTAGAGCTTGGGGTGTATCCATTATAACATGCTTTCAAGCATTCTTTTGGTTCATATAACTAGTTAAAGAGCAAGTTCTTTCCCCGTTCTCAGGATGGCCATATCAAAGCAAAATAACTAATAACTTGTCTTTAAACATCTCCCCAGATTCAACAGATTTCCATGTGCAAGGACTGAATGATCAACATATTGGAGCCAAGACGTAATTTTCCCTTTAGCTGGAGATGTGGTCCTGAAGCTCATAATGCTAATTGCAAATAATGCAGTATTCACAACCCAGCAAACCATGGGTTCTGGAACTGCATTAACCCATAGTTACACCTCAGTGCAGGTTTGCATATAATGATAACCATTCAATGACAACCCATGATTCAATGACAATGCAAACTCAGGATTGTCCTTATGTGAGAACTAGGCTTGTGGCTTAAGCAGGTTTGCTAGAAGCTGCTGGAGCAACTGTTTTATTTACACCCCATTCCCTTGTGATGGTGTTCAACTCTGACAGGAGAGGGTTAGTGCTATGGGGCACACCATTCCTTAAAAGGGTTGATTCCACTGTGACTCTTTTCCCATAGAGAAGCTGCTGAACAATGCTTCCATGCAGTAGTGTTAGATGTTCCAAAGCTTGAAAACGTCTTGGTTAATAAGAAAGTAACAATCCAACCTGAAAAATCAGAGTACAGCAAAAATAAATCAAGAGTCCTGTAGCACTTTAAAGATGGGAGGCATAAGGCTTCAAGTATGGAGGATTCCCTCTATCCAGTACATGGTGTAAGGCAGGGCAGCAGCGATCGTCGCAGCCCTGCATCCTGCCATCGATGGCCATTTTGGGGTGTCCAGATCAAAAGCCACAGAGAGGGAGGGAGGAGGCAGGGATGCCACTGGGATATGGTGTAGCCATCAGCTCGCCCCCCACCCACCTTCCCCAGGTATGCCCCTTTTCCTCATTTCCAAGCCTAATTTATGGCCTTTCCACACTAACCACATCAGGAGGCTGTAGGATTAGAGCTTTAATACACTTTGTTATGCATAAGCTTTCATGGACTCTAGTCCACAAAGACCTCTCCCATAATAACGTGTATTCATTTTAAGGTACTGAAGGATTCTTTGCTGAATTTGCTCAACTCATTAACAGATTTGAAGGACCAGTTACTCTCATTTGATCCTGCCTGTGTGTTCAGAGCAGGGGTCCTCAAACTATGCCCCACGGGCCCAGATGCAACCCGCCAAGGTCATTTACCTGGCCCACCACAGAGCTTTCAGACTTGTTCGGAGAAAACAATCTCCGAATGAGTCCAAAAGCTCTGAGCCGGCAGGTGTACTCTGAAACTCTCAGTTTCGGAGACTATCAGAGAGCTGCCAAATTGTGACAGCTCCCTTAAACTGTGCGTGTGCCGGCTCCCCCTCTGCTAGTTCTGACTCGTTTCTGCTGCTGTGCTGGTCTTGCCAGCGTGAATTGCATACGCGTCGGCTCTTCCCCCTGTTGCACACATGCATTGGCTCTACAGAAGAGATGAGAGAGAATACAGAAGAGAGGAGCGAATATGGAACCAGACATTGACCATCTCATTAGCCAAAAGCAGGCCCATACTTCTCATTGAAATACTAATAAGTTTATGTTGATTAAAGTTGCTCTTCATTTTAAATATTATTCTTTTTTCCTGGGTTTTTTTTTGTACTACAAATAAGATATGTGCAGTGTGCATAGGAATTTGTTCATATTTTTTTTCAAACTATAGTCTGGCCCCCCAATAGTCTGAGGGGCAGTGAACTGGCCCCCAGTTTAAAAAGGACCCCTGGTTTAAATCCTTGTTGGAAGCCCCATTTCCTGATCCACCTTTAAGATCTGTCAGGTTAGAGGACACTAGAAATATGGCCTTCTTGGTGGTGGCCCATATCCTCTAAAGAAATATATGGTGGGCTCCATGAATTGTGATTTTTAAGAAGGATTTTTTTCCCTTTAAAAAGAAGTTCCTTAGCTTTTAATTGAAAAGTTCCTGTTATATACCCCATGTTATTATCCATGGGTCATTCTTAAATTTAAATAAAATAAATAAATTTTCAAGATTTAAAATTATGTTTAGGTGCAACCCTCTCATAAGTTAACAATTACGTTTTAAATTGTAAACTGCATTGGGAAGAATGCATTCTTGAAAGACAGTTAAGAAATGTATAAAATAAAAACATTTTTCACTCTGGAAGGTTTAAATCATGAGATCACGTGTTTACAGACCTTTCTTTTTCACCAGCAGCAGTGGGGTAGGACTGAGTTGTTTGACCTTTCTATCCCTTAGCCTCATACTCAGGCTCTGTGTGCGCACACCTAGGCGTGTACATTTGTTGTGCCCATGGCTAAGCATGTGGGCATGTGTGCTGGTAAACAGACAGAGGGACACTTTACTGCACACAGGCTACAAATACAACCTGCTATAAAGGTAAATATACACTACATTTCCAAAGTATAGTAGCATTTAGTGGCACAATTCCCTCGACGAATGTTTTGCACTGCCCATAAAGCACAACATAAAACCTGCCTCCATCCCAGAACAAAACTTCTACATGAAGCCACGGAGCGTTACGATGGCTTTCAGTGTCTTGCTTCCCAGGCAGTCAACAGTTCAAAACGGCTCTTCTGTGTTCCGCAGGCAGAGGACGGCAGGCGGCACTGATAGCTGAGCCAACGTTATTACCTGAACGACGACACTGGATTTACAAAAGCAGCACAAGACTGATCTTCAGCAAGCACCAGTAACACACACATTCGCAAAGCCTCCTGTGCCCGAGAAATAAACAAGGTTGTCTCTTAGGAAAGTGCTTATCTTAGTAAACTTCTTTTTACTTCTTGCACATGTACATATAAATTTCTCCACGATTTCTTTGATATTCACATTTCTTTGATATTCACATCCGTGAGTCACAAACAAGGTGAAATGTTTCCAAGTGCTCCCCACCCAAGGAACGGTAAGAACAGCCCCGTCTCTTAGTCCGCAGGTCCCCTTCCATTGGCTGCCTGCTCAATGGCCATCCTTCTCAGCAACATCTCGGCCTAGTCAGTGGCTCACTCCTGCCATGGGAACAGCTTGCCTGTCTTGCTGGTGTGTTGGTCGTGCCAGTCCGAAAATCTGTGTGCTGGAGGCTCCAAGGTGGCATTGGCTGCTGAGTGATCAGTGAAGGTCACTCTCGGCTGCTCTGCATCTCCGCTCCGCTGGACAGGTAGAAACACACCAGGGGGCAGGGGGAAGAGAACAAAAATCAAGTTATCTCAGTGTTCCATTTGTGCACAAACAGCATCACAAGTACTGGAGGACCCTATCGGTTTGTACCTTGAGAGAAGTAGAAGAAGTGGGTAAAACACATTATTTTGTTGCAAATATCCAAATGAAAATCATTGCTTAAAACAATACTACTAAAAATCTTGGCTCTTTGTAGCATTGTAAAATTGCAAGGGAGGGTATAAATTAGTTAGAGCAGAATTTTCTTAAATTCATTTTCAGAGGGATCCTTAAGCAGGACCATGTAAACTGCTCTGAGACTGCAGCGTTGAGCACCAATCAACAAATTCAATGCTATGAAAATCTCCTTCTATTTATTTTAAACTGATTTCTTTAACCTCTGGGGCTACAAAATACAGGTTCAAAGGACTTTCCAGATGAGGAGTGCACCGCACAACCCCTGTCTCAAGCACATTTTACGAGGGCACCAGATGACAATGTCTATTCTTTATAACCTTCCCATGTTTTCCCACTGCTTCTTCCACCATTTTTCTTACTATAGAAAGCCCATTAAAGTTGGAAAAGCTGCACAGTGCCCTCTCATTGGCAGCGCTAGTAGCTGGCTGTTGGGAAGCCCTCAAAGTGTACAGACCATACCTGGTAAAATTACCAAGGCAGGGCATTGGGCAGAGACAGAGCATTTTCAGGAAGTGACCACATGGCCCTTGCCCATTCTGGGCCAAAGGAAATTAAATTATACAAAATGAAAGCACAGTGTGCATCATTTTAGGCAGGATACAAAAGCCAACTTTTCATTTTGTTTTTAAAGGCACACAAAGACTTCAGCTCTGTTGATTTAAAATGTACCCCTTTAACCCAGGCTTCCCTGATGTGGTGCCTTCTGTATGTATCAGACAACAGCTCCCATTGCCTCCAGCCAGGAAGACTACCAGACCTATCATCTCCAGAGCCAGCTAGGACTATGGAAAAGCTGATTCCACTGTTAACATAATTTTAAGTGCTTTTTCTGAAAGCATATCCACATAGTAGCTGCATACATAAGAAAAGCTAGAACATGTGGCCTAAATTTGAGGTATCATGATACACCTAAATTTTATATAGTCAGGGCTTTGACTCCTGGAACTCTGCAAGCACCATTTCCCCCAAGTGTCACAATTCCTTGCATGTAAGTTGGGCTAACAAGTGGAAAAGTTAGAATGTGAAGAAAGCATCCAGGTGCTTCTCCCTCCACTTGGGTACCATCACATGGAAGACAGCTGGGCTGCGTGGATGGATTGCGCCCCCGTCAACTGCTGTTCATGTCTTGGGGAAGGTCTGGGGTGGGGTGAGAGGCCTCTGCATTCGTTTAGGCTGTGCCTATGAGTGTGACCAGGATTACACCTCACAGGGACAGCCGACACGTGTCACGCAGGAGGTGACAACAGCAGGGCAGGACTAGTGCAAGCTCCTGCTCACCACACAACATAACTCGCACGGACAGAAAGATACTCAAATAGAGCTTGGGTTCCCAAAATTGCCATTTTCAACATCAGGGGGCATCCTGATAGCGGGCTCCCAGCAGTATGTAATCACTGCTGCTCTTCCACTGAAAGCTACATGCCAAATGGGTATCCACTTTCCGCATCCAGCACCTTTTACCAGCATGCCGTGTGCTACGCTCCATCCGTACGCAGGGCAGGACAGAGCTGTGTGGGCAGGGAGGGGGTAACTCAGCCGCTCCCTCTGCTTCTCATCTGATTTATTTAGTGTATGGCATATATTTCCAGGTCTACAATGTTTACACACAGTGGATGTTCTCGTGGCTGCAGTTGTCATTCTGTTGATACGCCATGGGGAGCAAACCAGTTGGTCAGCTGAAGTCAGTTCTTGTTGAAGTCAGTTCATTCTGGGCTTTTCTCCACTGATCCTCTACTAAGAGCATCCAGGCAGATCCAGCCCCGGTGCTTGCTTTCATCATGAACGAAGCCAGCAGGTTTTCCCACTGAGGAATGGTGGTCCCTCTTTATCTACTTGCAGGTGGTATACCTTTGAATTGCTAAGTGGGCAGGAGCTGGGGCGGACAACAGGAGCTCACTCTGTCCCGTGAAGCTGGGCTTGAACCGCTAGAGTGTTGACCATCTCTGACAGTTTCAGCGTCATTAAGCCACTGTGCCACCAAGTCCCCTGTCTGTTTCTCAAACAGATCGGTGCAGCACATGCTCACACACTAAGGTGAGAGGCTGCATGAGAGAGATTTCAACTCTTCCCACTCAAGTGTAGTAGGCTTAGTGCAATTTTCCCTTCTTTCTTAATTGAGTGTGTGGGGGTGGGGTTGCCTTTTCTCTTGCTGCTGCTGAGTCAGTCAGGCTCATCTCTCCCAGGCTTAGCTCCTCCAAAGCTGGGCTGAGGGCTGGGGCTGAGCGACTAAAAGGCTAAGTTCTCAAATCAGAGACAGCAGTGTTGGCCCCAGGTTTCTGAGGCTCCTTCAGTTAGCTGTGCTTCCCATCACCACTGTCACCAGCTGTCCTTACTCCACACCCTCTTTCATAATTGCTGCTACTCTGAGCAGCCCAGGGTGCAAACAGCCTATGATGTTTTCTGCTCCTCACCTCCACCATGGTCTGGACCCAGGGGAGAGGATGCTGGACAAGCTGTCTTCGGAGTGCACTCCTAGGTTACACTAAATAAGACACATCAGAGAAGGAGGTGGAGTAGGGCTGGCAATTTGGGGCTTCAGACTCGGAGATGGAAGAAGCAGAGGATAACCTAGATGTACAATTATTGGGAGGGGTCCTGGGAGAGGAGTTCTCAAAGCTGGACAACTCTTGACCCCATGACATGGTGTTAAGAGAAGGACTAGCCAACTGGAGGGATGGTGTACAAGAAATGATGTGCTCACTTCCAAAAGGACCCTCCCAGAGGGGTGAGGCTCAGTCATGCTCAAGAGGAAGGTTCCTGGAAGTAGTTGGTAGATTGAATGCAACAAAACCACTCTGTGCATGTGCAGCTATTCATTTAATGGGTGTGCTTTGGTGGATAAAGAACTTTTGTAAAGGAATGGTCTGTAGTGTTTGTCTGTGCAAAGGGAGGAACACCTGGCCCTCAAGCACTGATGGGACAGTGAATGCAGAAAGACCAAGAGAACTTGGATCGGTGGATCTCCCCCAGGGATACAGGAAGTCAAGGATTTGTTGGATAAATGGCATGTGAGGATCAAGAGATTCTTGGTGTGTGAATGCAGAGAATGTATTCCACTTCACCATATATGATCTCTGTATTGACAGTCTGAGTACTGCATCAAGGACTGCCTGTACTTTGGGTCAGAGAGCTGTGTTCTAGTCTACTGGATGATCTTCCATGTTGTGAGGCGCAGGGTAGCAACGCTGGAATGGAGGATACTTGAGATGATGCCCGCGTTCAATGGAATCTTTTTGTAAATGTGCATGTAATAAGCTTACTTCTCTCTCTCTCTCTCTCTCTCTCTCTCTCTCTCTCTCTCTCTCTCTCTCACACACACACACACACACACACACACACACACACACACACACCTGGTCTGATATAAATGTTAAAAACCCTGTGAGAATCTTACACAAGTTAAAAATTGATATATTCAGGATACTTTTTGAAGTGATCGCACAAGTACATATTTAAAGGCCAGAAAGCCAGTTAAGGGCACCATCCTTTCTCATCCATCTGGCTGGAGCATCTTAGAGCAGGAGGGAAGGAGGCTGGAGCAGCTTTAGGATACCTTGTATTCTGGCCAGTCCAGTTCCTCCCATTCCTGTCCCCTTTTCCCACTTTTTGAGATCACTTTCCTGACCCTCAAGAGCAGCTAGTATGGTTATTTCCATATTGGTTGCAAGGGGGCAGGGGAAGGAGACTGCTCCAATTCCCAGCTCCAAGATCAAAGTGCTCTCTCCAACCTCGGAGCTGAGAATCTGAAAAACCCTGTGGCCCTTCAGTCAGTTTATAAAAGCCTATAGCAGGGGTGGCCAAACTGAGGTTCATGGGCCACATGCAACTCTTTGAGTTTATTTTGAGGTTTGCCACCTGCAGGGTTCCACGGGCACCACTTGCTGCTCACTCTTTGCTGCTGTCACCTATGGGTGCCTGCTTGCTGCTCTCAAACATCTGACATTTACCATGTGAGGCTCTTCAATTGAGCAATTCTGGCCATCCCAGGTCTATAGGATCACAATCACCTCCATCCCCCAGTTCATCTGCAGAAACAGTGTGATATCAAGATTTTATAGCAAAATTAGCTCAGAGATTCAGAAACACAGGTTTATCAACCATGCATGCAAAGAACCCAGTCATTTATTCTGATTTCTTAAAAGGTAACCTTAAACTTTTCAATTAGTACCAACAGATGAATTGAGAAAAAGACATACCTTGTGAAACTTGTCGATCAATTAGAGAATGTGAAAGAAACATGAAAAGATAAATGGAGAAACATAACTATCAGTAGTATTCATAGCATTTCATTAATAAAAAAAGTTGAATAAGCAGAGTGATATGCAAATAGCGACGAGCTATCTCAACAATTAAAGCATGGGTATGTAGGTCTAAGGATTTTCTATTTTCAGCACCTTAAAGGAATTTTCATCTGGTTTTCTCTTTTTTGGGGGCTAAATAAAGGAATTTACTAGAAAGTTATTAAGAGTGGATCATAAAAGCTAGTGTTATCTTATGCATTTTAGTTAAAAGTGAATTACCGGTTACAGATCATCAGATAAATTGGTTGGAACCAATATAAAATTTAATGCCTTTACAACTTCTACAATATGAACACACTTGGAAAGCTTTGTACAATTCTGTTCTCTACACTTCAAAAAGGATATTGTAGAGCTGTGAAAGTGCAGCGATGAGAAACCAAAATGATCAGGGGATTGAAGCAAATTCCCTATGAGGTCTTCCAAGAGATGAGGGGAAAATCTATGGGTGGGACTTAAGGACCAGCTTCAACGAGCATCTTCTGCCTCCTGTCTGGTGGCCTTCCATAGCTATGTGAAGACCTTTCCTTTTCAGCAGTTATTCGATTTACTCATCAAATAGGTTTCTACCATGCAATTTTTTGCATGACTACTCAGATATAAGTCCTACTGAGATCAATGGTGCTAATTCCCTTATTTCCTTAGGAATTTATTATGAACCATGTTTATCTTTGTATTTGTCTGCCATCATCATTTAAAAATGTAGCTGTTGGTAACCATTTTTAGCATTTCAAAATAGAAAAGCAAGTTAAGTGTAATTAATGAAATCCAAGTAGCCCTCAGCACAACTACCAAAGCTGTATATAATGCACCAATGAATTATATACCACTATTCTTCCAGATGTGGTCTAGCAAATGGAAACATGACTACTGGTAGGGCTGCCATGCAAGCACTAATGAGAGGAAGGGAGCCACTTCAGAAAAACAAAAAATGACCACCCAAGTTGAATTGCTAAGACATATTTCTTTCAGAACCATGAGATCCAATTTAAGCATGTTCATTGCCTGAATGGGCAGATCATTTAATCAGATTTAATGCTGCTTCAAGAGAGAGGTGGTCCAACTGGCAGGCTTTAGGGACTTGAATTTATAGCACATTTGGTTAGGCATGTTTGACCTGTGCTCTGTCTGCACACAAGTTACAACTTCAGTGTGCTTCATTCTTCATATGAAAAACGGAGTGAAGAAAGTGGAGAAAAAGTACTACAGTGCCATCTGGCAAAGAAGGTGACTATATGGTGAGCATTAGTTACAATTAATACTTGAATTGATAAAAGCACAGTAAAGCATTTCAGAAAGTGTTCATTTGCATGGGTTCTCAGATGCCTGCAGAGCAGTGACGTTTCACATAAACTTCCTTCTTCTACCCAAATCATGAGAATTGAGTAGTTGTGGGGGAAAGTTGCATGCAAGGAAAGGCCTGTCCCTATTTTGTCCCTTTTCAGTAGAAAGATGGACATATACATTGAAAGCAATTACAAATATGTATTACTTCCAGCTTCCTCAAGGCTTCATCTGCCTGTTTCAGGCAGACAGTTGGTTCTACTAATTTCTTGAGTCTTCCATAAATGTTATCCATCCTCTTTTCATATGTCAAGTGTGGGGAGGGAGCCTCTGTTGCATTAGCACCCGGCTTATGATGCTATAGGACTTCAAATAGTGGGAAGCTAAAAACATGGCCCCCATGCTCTCCTTCGACGCCCTGACACTATTTTGAGCCAAGTGCTGCCCCTCTGAGTGGGACCAATTCAAAAATAGGACTTGTTTCTCAATGCTACTCAGTCCTTCCTACAACTTTGCAACCATCTTCCCAAGAGGGAAAGAGCTATTGGAAGGAAAAAGGGACATTAACCTATGGGGAACATGAGGGATGAAATTTTCATTCCTGTTTATTGTTCACATAATAGGCCTCAAAATGTGAAATTGACCAAGCAATGGTCACTTTCCCTATACCCCATAATTTCCCCTATATCCCAAGAATGCTGCTCCATTCAAAATTGTACACTTCTGAAAAGGCATGCTTGTGCTAATATACACTTCCAAAACAATCCTCTTCGAAACAAAAACTTAATTTTCATGCTTTAGCCTATGGGAGTATGGGTTTGAAAAAGTGTACAGGTTTGGTCTTTGTGCGAAATGAATGCTGGATTAGACAGACCCTTGTTCTAATCAAGCAGGGCTCTTATATTCTTACCAGATTCCTATTACTAAACAGAGTGCTAGTGCTACATCACTGCAAGCCCATTGCACCTGCGGTCCCAGCTCCTAGCTCATCTGGGTGTCAGGGTAGCAGGTGCTCTGCCAATTGAAAGAAGAAACAGAGGGGCCAACCCCAAACAAACATGAAGCTCAAGAACAAGTTTTCTTCAGCACCTAAAACCCCGTGAACATTCTACTTATGTATACAGTTATAAGCTCAAGAGAAAACAGAGAAGGAGCAGGGGATCTACTTTTGGGGACAGTTCCTCCTCAGAAGTGGCAGTGGGAATCCTGATGTTGTATGGTTCTCATGGGAAGAACAGAGTGGGCAAAGTTATAAGGAGAAATAACCGTCAAAGACACAAGCAAACAAGCCCTATACTTAACCCTCCTGCAAATAGCTTGCAGTTACCGGACAGCTGCTCAGCTTAGCTTCCCTAAGCAGACACACCTTCACCCCGGTAACAAGAGGAAGAGAAAAAACAGAAGAGATTGTGCACTACTTACTGGCAAGAATGACCATGTCCATCCCCCAAAATATACTCATGATCCAGCCAACCATCACAATAGCCGTGAGGATCTGAATCAGAGCTGCTGCAATGTTCAACCAGAACACACAGCAAACATGCCTGTCGGGGAGATCAGTCCGGGCGCCACACAGCACTGTGAAGGCAGACACAAATGTCCCTGTGGAAAGAAAGAGCACAGTGAATCCTTGGAAGAAAGCAGAAAGTCAGAAGCAAAGCATGCGCAGCTAGAAAATACAAAGTCAATGTAATTACTGAACACACTCTCAGGAATATTCCACATTTGCTTTCAGGGGCACGATCATCAATCGGTTTTGAAAGTGTTTTGCTGACATTTTAAATCTATGAAAAAACACTGAGGAAAATAAAAGGTTGGGTTAACAGGAAAGTGGGATTGGACCACTGTTAGCCAATTACTACATCGGAAACCCATTCACAATACAGATCTGTTTCCACAGATCCACCCACATAATCTCACACACTATCATGGATCTCAATATTCATAGAAACATCAGGCAGTTAGGTACTCAGCTTCTTTTATGACATTTCTACACTACATATGTATTGTTAGCATGGTAACATGGTAGTAACTTGTTTTACTTTTTTCAAGCAAGTTACTTGTTACAAACAATGGACAAGTGGTATCTTGTTTTCTAGGTTCTTTACTACTGCTAGAAGAAATGCTCAGTTTGTGAAGTTTTCCATTGTTGCTGTCATTCAGAATATTTCTTTAAAAATATTCTAAAGATAAAGACCCAGACTTCATGTTTCTAATACATGTAGACACTATAGATACTATTTATTTATTTCTACTTCTATGCTACCTCATAACCCAAAGTTTCTCTGGGTGGCTTACAAATACTAGAGCAGCATACAATTCAGTTGATAAAACAATTAATAAAGCAGATAGAAACATAGAAACAGAGCGAGTCAGAAGGGGCCTCCCGGGCCATCTAGTCTGACCTCCGGCACCAGCCGGCTCCGCTCACGACATGCCCACCATGTGCATGTCCAGCCTATCCTTGAACACCCTAACTGACGGGGCTTCAACGACCTCTCGTGGAAGACCATTCCACATCCTCAGGGTCCTAACTGTCAGGAAATGCTTCCTGGCATCTAAATGGAACCTTGGTTCCCTGAGCTTTGCTCCGTTGGAGCGTGTCCTGCCTTCCTCTGCAGGGGAGAACAGGTCTCTACCCATCTCCATGTGACATCCCCTCACATACCTGTATGTCGCCAACATATCCCCTCTAAGTCTCCTCTTCTCCAGGCTGAAGAGACCCAGTTCCCTCAGTCTCGCCACATACCCCATCCCCTGCAAACCAGCCACCAACCTTGTGGCCCTACGCTGCACTGACTCTAACCTGGCTATATCCTTTCTGTAATGAGGGGCCCAAAACTGAGTACAATACTCCAGTTGCGGGCGCACCAGAATCATATAGAGTGGTAGTAATACCTCTCTCGATCTAGAAGCCACACTTCTGGCTATGCAACCAAGGGTGGCGTTCGCCCTCTTGACCACCACATCACACTGCTGACTAATGTTTAGCCTGCAGTCAACCAGTACCCCAAGGTCCCTTTCACAAGCGCTGCTCTCCAGCCACTTGTCCCCTAACCTGTACTTATGACACCTATTCCTATGCCCCAAGTGCAAGACCTTTTACTTATCCACATTGAATGCCATCCTGTTGTCTCCTGCCCACTTCCATAGTCTGTCCAGATCCTTTTGGATCTGGAGTAACTGCTCCTCAGTTGTGGCCACTGCTCCAGTTTTAGTGTCGTCTGCGAATTTGATCAGCACACTGTTCACCCCTTCTTCCATGTCATTTATGAAAAGACAATAAAATAAGAGATAAAACCATCACATGATAAAATACAAACCACACACAGCATAAATGCAACCAATAAATTAACAAACCAAAAATTACATAAATAATCCAAAACAAAATTATAAATTAATTAATTAACTGAAAGCTTGTTTGAACCAAACTGTTTTCACACAGTGCCTAAATGAGAAAGAAGAGTTGGTGCCAGCCGTATGTTCCTGGGGAGTGACTTAAATAGTCCAGGTGTTACTGCCAAAAATGCCTCCCTCCTAGCCCTTTCCTCATTGATCTCACTGGGGGGAGTTTTTTGGAGGAGGAGTTCTGAGGAGGATCTAAGTGTGCAGGTAGGAATATATGGAGAGAGGCATTCTCTCAGGTACCCTGGTCCCAAGCCATTTAGGGCTTTATATGCCAAAGACAAGACTTTGACTTGGGCCCAGATTGGAACAGAGAGCCAATGCAGCTGACGAAGGACCAGTGTAATATGCTCTCGCCAGCTGGTTCTTGCAAGTAGTTGCACCACCCGGTTCTGTTTCAGTTGTAGCGTCTGGACTGTTTTCAAAGGTAGCCCCATGCAGAGCACATTACAGTAATCCAGGCAAGAGGTTACCAGTGCGACTACTATTGCAGCCAATGGATGCATGGGTGGACAGAATAAGCAGAGGTGAAGACACAGGGGGTGAGCTTCAAGCATGATCACTTTGTGAAAGGGAATGCCAGTCACCCACGCCTTTTGGAAAGGGAATCAACCATGAATCAAAACATCAGGAATGACAAATTGTGACACTGCTGCCCTTTTTTTAAAATTAAGCTTTCTACATGAAGCTTTCTTGTACTGAGAAACATCAAGATATCTCCCTTCTTCCTTTCTGCTGCTGCCTTGATTTCCAACTCCCACTTTCTTCTAAAACCTCTTGAAGTTAGAAAAGCAGTTTATGAGGGGAGCAGAAAAAAAGAGTGGGTGGGAACTGCTGATGCCACAGAAAGCAGCTCTATATTAAAGCTGGGAAGATGGAGGAAAAGATCGTAGACATTTACTTTAATGTGTGAGTATCTCTCTGGTCTCTACCTGCCTAGCATTCATCAAATGTTGAAGCCTAAGACTGTAGTGTTCCATTCTGCAACAGTTACCTGCTTCCTTTGAATTATCAGCTCTTATGTGAAGCAAGAAAAGTAGGACATACTATCAGTTTCGGACAAACTTCATGATTTCTCCATGCAGGAACTGTGCCTTATGTTGAATGGGGATAAATTCATCTATTACTTGTATTTTATTTCTTACAGAGCATCATAGAGGCCAGGGCTGTCATGGTGCCTCGCTCTGCCTACGAAATGCCAACCAAATTATAGTTTCTCAAACTGAGAGCGAAATGAGATCATGCTCATGGAGCACACAGCACATCTGTGTGTGTTTCAGATGCCGAGTGCACACTTGCACATGCAGTTCACATGCAGGCACTGACCAGGCATGTAAGTTACTTGGGCCTGAAACTCTCCTATACCATCACCTGTTTGGCACTCATCACTCCCCACCATTTCAGGCCCGTCTGGCATAATGATTAGCAGCAGATGCGATCATCCCAGTTACAGCAACCCTACAATGGAGCAGTAGAACCCTCTTCTACAAATACACAAAGGGAAGCTATTTGAACATCAGGTGGAGCCTACACCTCTAAAGGCATACATACAAGTTCAAGTTCACAGTGGCCATAAACACTCAGATTTTTATTTTATCTTTCATTTGATAAACTCCTTTTACCAACTGGCCAAAGGAAACACTTATCCAACAGAATGCAATTTGTAATAAATTATGTTGCACTAGCATAACTAAGCAAAATTAGAAATAAGATCAGCAGAGCATAAATAGCAACAGAAATGAGATCAAAGGAGACTAAATTCAGTGGTCTCACCACTCCAAACTCGTACACATCTACCTCAGACTTCTGGGACATCAGCTAAGACAAGGGTGTTGCATCTCTTTCAGACTGAGGAATACATTCTTTTCTGAAGCAATTTTGGGAGGCCACACTCTAATGGTGGGAAGGCTGGAGGCAAATGCCAAAAGCCAAGAGCACGAGGCTAAAAATACCAGCACACTGTAGCTTAAAACCTTCTGCCAGAAAGGAAACCTTAGGAGAGGCATTTCAGCCATTGAAATGGCTGGGACAATGGCTGAGACATCGAGAAGAAAACGTGCAAACTACCAAATGACAGGTGGCCAGAGGAAAGGGAAATGGCATGAGGCTACATGGAGAACCTCAAAGCACCAGATTTGGATTTTGGGCTTGAGGTTTAACACCCTGAACTGAGGTCACCACCCTTACAAGTATTGAGATGTCAAAGAAGAGTTCTGTAGGTTCTGTGCAGTCTGAGTTAAATGGAATATTTCCTAATAGCTGGTTCTATTCTGCTTAACTTGTGCTAGTTCCACTTTTGCTACTTATTTCTCTTCAAGTCTCCACTCTGGAAGGCAAAAGGGAAGCATCTTTATTTCCAGGGATTTATCGGGAATGTGTCTCAGAAAACTCTAAGACACATTCAGGAGGCACTGGTTCAAGTTAATTCCTCTGCTACCCTTTGCACGTGAACTGTACTTTCTAAAAATGTTCACACTGATGGTAGGCTAATATTATTATAACCAACCAAAATATCACAAAGAGTGAGCAATCTAGCAAGTTCTAATTCTTCCAAGCTAGATGTTATACCTGGAACGGTAAAGTAGGTGGATGGGGGAGAAATAAAATGTGGGCATGATATTGAAGCTGGATGTCTTTACAGTCATGAAGCTATGGCTTTTGATATTTTTAATGCTGATATTAAATAATACTTGATGTTTAACTATCAGCATTTGATAGGATACAAATATTTGTTGTGCCCTGGTTGATGGATGCTTTGGACTTACTTTGGAAGATGTAGGCTTTAGAAGAATAATGCCTTAATAATTATCAAATATCAGTGGTTGCTAGTTTCTAAAGTAACTGGCTGCGGGTCAAACATGTCTAAGAAATAACAACATTCTGCTGAAAGCTCCAGTTCATAATGGCAAGATAAGGAAAAGATGGTTGTAGCTGTTCAGGTGTGTTAGAAATACACTCTGCACATGAGAATTCGGGTGTTCCAGGCAGAATAAAACAGCTTCCAGACATGAGTACTAGGAAATCTGAGCACAAATCTGAGCATAAATGCTGGCAATCAGTATCAATTTATATTTGAATTTCCTCTTTAGAATCAAAATCAAAAACTTATTTGAGAGTTCATATGCTATATTTAAAATCCAGTACTGAAAACGGCAAGTGGAACTGGTTGCCAGGGAAACTACTGGTTTAAAAGTGAG